CTCTCTCTGTCTCTCTCTCTCATAGCTGATGCAGGAAAGAAGACCTTTAAAAAAGGAAAGAAGAAGGAATCACCTGTCATCTCTGGAGGAATACTAGAAGTGCTCATCAAAGAGGCAAAGAATTTGACAGCGGTGAAGTCAGGAGGCACTTCTGATAGCTTTGTGAAGGGGTAATTTTGTTTGAGCTCATTTTAGATGATACGTGATGGGAGATGAAATGATCTATGATTCGTGAGACGGTGGTGGATGTGTGGCTTCTATGTTGTTCTTATTCTAAATGTGCACGAAGAAAGAGCTCCCTTGAATGCTGGCACTTCCATCTAAAACCATACGAGACGGAACTGCTGATTCTAGCATTCAGCCTGCTTTCCCTGTATTTCAGGATTTCCCATGCCTCTCACCTTCAAGACTGGCAAATTTTCCTGTGAGATTCATTTCTCGAAGGAGGAGAAAGTATGATTTTTCTACATGTAATAGACTTTTATTGGGCTTTGTTATCAGTCGGTGCTGGCAATAAGCAACGACAAACATCCTGTTTCCTTGGTATTTTGCTCTCTTGGGGGAAATTGTAAAAAGTGGAGATGTCAGAGCATCCTCCCTAGAGGCTTCATAGAGGCTGGTGATGGCCTTGGGGAGGATCCAAGACTGCCTCCTGGGCATTTGTGTCCACTTTGTGGAGCACGAGCCAGTTTCTTGAGGGAATGGTGCCCTTTCAATGGACATTCTTCCCCATTCTCGGCAACCCAAACAAATCCCTCCTGATTTCTGTTTGAGATTTTTCTCCTGTAATTAGAACTAGAATCGGAAGATTTTTCATTCACTCAAACAAACGCATAAATGTGCACCTTCCAAGCACTCAGTGCCGCAGTTCCAAAAACAAGACATGATCACTGCTCTCACAGAGCACCGTGAAACATACAAGGTGAAACAGATTCCCATGATGCCAAGCATGGGGTTAATTCTATGAGTCAGATGACAGTATTATTCCCTCTCTCAGTCCTTCTTGGAAAAGTATAATTTCCCCCACAGGGAAATGAGTCAAATCTTTACACTCAAGCATTCTAACTTGGGTAAAGGCAATGATAAGGAGAAGCAGATGTCTGGGGCTTCGCCACTGGTAAGTGTGTGCCCGAATCCTGGTCCATCTGTCCTTGACTCTTTCCCGTAGGAGGCTGAAGCACAGAAGAAAC